GCCAGGGTGTTGGGCCCCGCTACCAGTCGACCAGTCATCAGGGACCGAGGCCAGAGCAGCAGCCACCCCACCCGGGAGTCCCCCGCTTTGGGGTCTGCGGGGCAGAGTGCAAGATCTCTGTTGAGGTCAGTGGGCCTGAGGGTCTATATTTCCTGAGACCGAGATAACCCAGTACTGTGGATCCACTTCGGGAGGCGAGGTCCAGGGAGGCCTGGAAGGCTGGGCCGCTGCCTCCTTGTGCCTAGGAGAGGCCGTGATGAGAACCCGAGGAGGACGGCCCTTGGCCGAGGGGGACGGGCTATAAAGGCGGCTGGGTCTGATACTAAGTCTCCCGTGGGGGCCAGTTAGTCATGCTTTTCTGTTTTCTTTTTCCTCGTAAGGACTAAGGAGACAGAAGGCAGCTGGGGAAGCCACGGTTGGCCATGAGGGGGAGCTGTCTGGAGAGTGGCATGTGAGAGACGGGAGGAGAGGAACCCGTGGGCCAGGGCCTTCGGGCAGGGTTCTGCGATGCCCGGGTGACAGCAAGGGAGTTCAGGACTGCCTCGGACCCCAGACTGTCAGGTGCTGTGGGCAGGGACTAACGGGGAGCCAGGCCATGCACACGCACCCGACCACACCCCGCACCCCTCGGGAGCCGTGTACCCCAAGGGAAGCCCCCATCCCTCTCCCCTGCCTCTTCCAACCCCTGAGCTACAGAGACGGCTGCCTCTCCGTGCCGTGTGACCAGGCCTAGCCAACGTCAGGAAACGCTTGCCAGGCAGCACAATGGAACCCCAGCTGGACCGCAGAGCATGAGAAGGGGCCTTCCGGGGCAAGCCCATAGCTTAGTGGTTAAGGGAGCTGATCCCACATGGCCAGCCATTGTTCAAATCCCACTTTGGCAGCTCTAAAGACACTGGGGCAAAGGAGCATGTGTGCCCAGACCTCAACGGGATGGAGAAATGGAGGAGGGGATTGCAGTGAGATGCGGCCCATGCCGGTGCCTTCTTCCCGCCCCCTCTCCCCCTGCCCTCTCTGGTGAGCCACGCCCTCTGGCCATTAGAATGCGATAAAGAGAAAACACCTCAGAGAGTGTCTAGACCCAAACCACCACCACCACCCCAAGGAACTAGCGAGGCGGCCCTGGACTGGCATGAACCTGCCTACTGCTCCCTGACCTCGCTGTCCCACGTTGCCCCGTGTCTGTCCAAGGGAAGACCGCATGACTCTGGAGGCCAGCCTAACATGGCGGGTCCCTTGGCACTCCCCGCCTTCAGGGCGGTCAGCCTGCCCTCTCCCCTGCCCATCCCAGTCTGTTATAGGGCTGTCCTGTCCCCTCCTCACTTCTGACTGTGACTCGTCCCTCCTCACCCCCCCATCCGTTCAGACCTACACGCTGGACATCTCCACATGTGACACATGCCTGGTCGGGTCCTGGAGACCAGCCCCAAGTTCCAGTTGCTATCCACTGGCCAGAGCCCAGATGGAGCAGAGCAGAACCCAAACACATGTGTTCATGGGACCCACAGAGCCTGTGACAATGAGACAGGGCTGGTGGCCACTACAGGCAGCCAGGTCTCAGTGGGACTGTTCCACAGTGACCTAATAGAACTACACTGCAATGCGGGAACCGCGCGGCCACGGGGCCTGCGAGGAGCGAGAGAGCGGCCGTGGAGCAGGGCGTGTGGTGTGTTGCACTAGAGCCAGCCCGGGAGTTCACAGGGCCTGCATTGCAGAGGGCATGATCACGTGGTGAGCATGGAACACGCGTGTGTGGAGTCACAGAGCAGGGGGCACTTGAGTAGCACTGGGACACATCTGGGTAGCCATGGCGCCGTCACACGTGTGTGCCTCCTGGACGCGTGGTCAGGACCGATGGCTGCAGCAGGGCCCAGCAGGGAAGCCGTGGCCCCAGTGCCGTGGCAGTGGCTCTGTGGTGGCCAGGTGGTTAATCGATTAGCTGCCTCCCCTGCCCTCGGGCTGGCGCCTCCCACACTGCCAGATTTCTGGAACATGTTAGTGTTCATGGTCTCATTGCATGTTCCCCTAGAGCCCAAGAAATAATTTTGTCTCTGAGTCCCTCCAGAGCCCACTTCAGCTTAATAGGAAATTGAGCATTTTCTGGAGAAAGGCACCTGGGGAGTGGAGGAGGGTGGAGAAGATGAGGGCCTGCCAGCCAGCCCATGGGGCACCGCCCCCCCCACCGCGCCCTGTGATCTGCCTTCATCCTGCGACAGCCCAGCCGTTTCAGGACACTGGGTCTCGACCCCACCATGTTGTCCATGTGGTACAAAGCTCGGTCTTGGGTGGGCCACTGAGGTCAGAGCTTCTGGGGTGGCCTTGGGTCAAGCATAGGGCCCCAGGCTGGGGTAGAGAACATTTCATCTCCCAGGGAGTCTTTCTGGAAGAGGCAGGCTTCTTGGTGACAGTGAAGAGTGCAATGTCAAAGGTCATCCTGGATATGGTCACTCTCCAAACACCACATCCCCTTCGCCCTCACATGGAGCTGACAGTGCCTCCAGACATCGGGGCCAACAGGCAAGAGCGGGGCAGGGCTTGGGCCTATCCAGACCTGCCAGTTCCATGGGCCAGCTCCCCACGGCCCAGTGCCAGTGCCCCAGCCCACACCAGCCCAGCCTGTGCCCAGCTCTAGGGGACAGGTGGGGTGAGGAGAGGCCAGAGCCCTGCGCCTGGAGCCTCCGCAGCAGGCAGGAGTGAGCAGCATTGGGAGAGGAAGGGTGGCACAGAATGGCTCACAGTCACTACCTGGAGGGGACAGTATCGTCTCACAAGCCACGTGTAACAGCATTGCCAGGCACACCAGCTAGACTGTCTGTAAATAAGAGAGAGAAAAGCAAGGAAGGCTTCCTGGAGGTGGTGGGCGAGGCTTTGGATAAGCAGAGGCCGTCGCTATTCAAGAAGTGTGTGTACAGTATTGCTTCCAGCACAGAAACTCTCTCTCCCTGCACATACCTCCCACCCCCATCCTCTTGGTTTCTGTCTCTCCCTTTGGTCTTTCTGTTTGTTTCTTTCTGAGTCTCTGGCATTCTCTGTGTCTCTCTCGCTGGCTCCTGTTTCCCTCCACCTTGCTCAGAGGAGATTTGTGGCAGACCAGAGGGCCCTCATTCCAGGCGATGAATAATTGACCAGGCGTGTTTAAAGATTCAGTGGCGTTTTCCAAGCTCACCACACTGGAATAACTCATTCTTTAGTCTGTCTTTGAAAGCTTCCCCCTCCCTCCACCTCTCTCCGCAGTTCCCCAGTCCCCGCCTCTGTAATGCTTTTGTTTCTCCTCCTTTCCGGAGTCTGCAGGACTGGGGCCCTTCTCTCCTTGACCCTGGGCTTCTCTGAGGCCACTTCCCTGTGCCTTGGGGTGACCACCGATTTCCTACTTGCCCAGGACCGAGGGGTTCTCTGGATATGGGCCTCTTGGTGCTTAAACAGAGATGTCCCAGACAAAGCTGGCAGGGGTCACCCACATGGCACGGACCCTCCCAGCTCCACACTGCCCCACCCTCTACTCCCTACGCGCGCGCGCACGCGCGCGCATGTGTGTGTGTGTGTGTGTGTGTGTGTGTGTGTACCCCCCCCCCCCCCCCCGCGCTC